GGATTTTCAGATGCAGCGCTAGGTTACCATTATATTGGCCTGGCTAAAGTTTTCTTCTTTTCCTTTGGCCCGCTCTTTAAAAAGTTTGCCCATCACTGGTATAGAGAATCCATAACAAAAATAAAAATTGGAAAAAAATATCAGAAGGATTTACGGTATCAAAAGGACGGGTGCTGTATCTCACCAACTCTATTTAAAATCTATGTAGAAGGAGTATTGAAAATATGGAAAAAGAAATGTTGTAATATGGGAATAGATATTAATGGTAAACCAATGTTTGCATTGCAATTTGCAGATGATCATGTGGTAATGGCAGAAGGTAAAGATGATCTGGAATACGTGACAAGAAAAATAAACGAGAACTATTTTAAAGGAGGTTTATATTTAAATACGACTAAAACAAAATATTTATGCATAGGAGGGGCTAAAACAGACATGGAACTGGATAAAGGAGAAAAGATTGAGGGATGTGAGCATTACAATTATCTTGGAATACAAATTCATCAAGATGGAAGAGATACATCAGAAATTAATAAAAGATTAGCACAAGGTAAGAGAGCAGTAAAAAGATTAAATGGAATATGGTGGAGTGAAGAAATGACTAGATCAAGAAAAAAGAAGAATATATAATGTAATTGTCAAAAGCATTCTGTTATGTGGGGTGGAGGCATGAAGAATGACTGGGGAAGAGAAGAGAAAAAAGTAACAACGGTTGAAATGGATGCATTGAGAAGATTGTGCAGAATATCAAAAAGAGAAAGAATAACTAATGAGAGAATCAAAGACCTAATGGGATTGAAGGAGACAGTCTTGGAAGAAATAAAGATGAAACAACTTATTTGGTTTGGACACATGAAAAGAATGATTGATGAGAGACTCCCGAAAATGTCAATGGAATACATTCCACAGAAAAAGAAAGAGAGGAAGACCCAGGCAAACCTGGTACAACGGAGTAAAGTTAGCATGTAGTGAAAATGGGATTAAAGAGGAATGGTGTATGGATAGAGATGGAGAGAGTTCCTGGAGGTTGGAAGGTGACATCAGGTGCCATAAACTGAAATATATATATATAGTTACATGATATTCCCACAGAATTAATTTCTGTCATGACTCATGATCTTTATTTTGCTGACATCATCAAGTCTTGCAAATGTTTTTCCGTTTCTGGTTGAGGTTGACTCAGTGACTCATACTGCTTACATCAGCACATATTGGCTATTTGGCTTGTATGGACAAGTTCAGGCATGCTGCTGAAGGACTGCTGATATCATCAGATGCATAGACTATATAATCCAGAAACTGCTCAAGCAATCACATAATACATTTTTGTTCATTTCGGTAAAGTTATTAAATAATAAATATGGCGACAGCAGCAAATAGATCTAAAACTGAAGTGTACAGTACCTCCTTGGTTCAACAGTAACTGAATTAACTGGCAACAAGTTGCCATCCTTATGTCAGGCTCTTGGTTTGTTTTTGCATCACCATTTTCAACTGAAACAAACTATCAGACAGTCATAGCTGTTACAGTTGAAAAGCTGGGAATATTTTATGAAATGGCATTTGCTAATGTAAAATAGGTTTTGAACTTACAGCAAATACAATGGTTCAAAACCTTTTTTTACATCTATGTTTAACATTTTTGATTTTATAAATCATTTCCATCTTAATTATTGTCTTAGCAAATACCAGTTAATCAATAATCATCATCCATATTGTATTCATCCTTCTCATAATTGTGTAAGTTTCAAAATCTTTTACATATTTTGTAACATTGCAAAGTTTTTATGCTAACTTGTATGCATTATTCCCTATTCCCTAAACAGTTATATCACATGGTATTGAAAAGAGACTTACGAAATGCATACTCCTCAGGGAAATAAAGATATGATTTTCTAAAGTTTGTCCTCTTTCTGACTGATGGTGTAATAAGTCTGACGAAAAAGGAAAAGCTGTCAAAGTGATAGTACAATTGAGTGTTTCAACAGTTTGAGTGTGTACACATAATCTAAAAGATAAAGTATTTTGCATATTCTAGTATGTTTTTGTTTAATAAAGTCAAGTTGTTGCGTAATTATCATATATAATTGTGAGAAAAAGGTTATAATTTGTTGTTATAAATTACTGTCACTTTCCAAATGTTTTATTTGTGTGAATTATTTGTGTGGATAATCTTTTATAATGTATATCCTATGGAAACTTTGAGACTGAAATTAAAATCTTTATATAACCAGCCAATTGAATACTTTGTTCCTCCAAGGTGGCTGCTGAAAGTAAGATAATTATTGATATGCAGTTTAGAAGTTGACTCACACATTAAAACATTGTTTTTTCTGTTTCATAGCTGTTAACAAATCATTGTAGATATACATAAACAACTAAGTTCAAATATCCTATAATAAACATATTAATTTCAGGATTATTCAGAATATAGTTTGGATAAATATTAATTGGTCTTGCATGTTTCAGCACAAGAAAATTTTTTCCATTAATTCATTGTTATCATTTGATACCAATGTTATTTAATGTCAGGATATGTCAGGATATAAAAGTTATGTATGACAGTGTGTCATTTCACCACATTTATAGCATTTGCTATTAATGATTTTGCATACTAATGATCATTAATAGCAAATGCTATTAATGATGATGAAAAAATTTCAGAATTGCTGAATTATTAAATGTAAAATAAGACATTTTATTATATAAAAATAATTGTGAAGTCTTGAGTGAGACCTGAGCTTGTGTTGGAATTTTAAGTGTTATAGTGAAGAGATGAACTTTGACTCTAGTTCTTGTAGAGATGACAAAATTAAGACAAAACAGAAAAATGAAGTAATTTTTGATGAAAGAAAATGTCACATGAAAGTAACTAAAATTCCTAGTGTTGGGGAAAACAACAGGCTAAAATCTAAATGAAAGTCTCAGTTCACCAACATCACTTGATCAGTGTCATGATGTGGTGTCAAGTTGAATACCAAAGATCAACCTTTCTGGTAACTTGATCTGGTTCAATTTCACCTGGATACAGAGAAGGGACTATGCAGATAATGATGAGAAAAATTGGGACCAATTAGCATGCATAATTTGGAAACAAATCCTTTTAAAAACCCAGATTTTAAGGACACAAACAGATTACTTCTCCTAAAACTTGGTGGTACAAAGATTTGTCTCTTCTTGTGTGCTTGCTCTCCTATTGCTGACTTCATCTTTAATTCTCCATTCATCACTGCCTCAGGGCAAACAAATTATTGAGTGAATGTAACCAACAAACTGACACCACTACTCAGGACTTATAAAACAAAATGCCATNGTGGAACCACAGGAGAGGAAGACCCAGCGACCGCAGCCGACGTAGAACTTCCAAGATTGCAGTAATCTTGTAAGCTTCTTTCGTGTTTAATAAACGGTTGTGTTGTTTATAAACGAAGCATCTATCTCTGACTCAAGTGCTTCCACATGGCGTTGATTGTTACCGCTCGGCAATCCAAACGGCAAGGGAGACGATGACGGTACGTATCAACTATTAACGTTCGTCGAAAGTTTTTAAATTTCTCCCCCCTCCTCGGCCCCCACACAAATTATTGAGTGAATGTAACCAACAAACTGACACCACTACTCAGGACTTATAAAACAAAATGCCATCCTGAGGGCAAACTTTGTCTTTAAGCAACTTTTAAGCCTTTGACTTTTTCATAATAAATGTATTCAATCATAAAATTGTAATGTCCATAAAATAAACGATTATTTGTTAACGTATATAATTAACTTTATTACAACAGCTAACGCACAACTGACCGGAGAAAAAAGGAACACAACAAAGGTCAGCAGTGTGGGGTTGCCTAACTAGGTCAAGGTGCAATTTGGTGTTGGTTATGCCTGGAGGTTTACATACATACCACTTTAAGCAACTTTTAAGCCTTTGACTTTTTTATAATAAATGTATTCAATCATAAAATTGACTTGTCTCAGTGTCTACTATTATCACATGTCACAGTGTTATCATGTAAAAACATGATATGTTGATTGAAACTTGTAATGGACACCGTTGAAGAAACAGTCGGTGAGATTTCGAATTTGTGGTGCATGCATCTCAAGTTACAGACGGTTGGCGAACAATCATGCCATGTGGCAGATCTCTGATAAAGCTATGACCAGTGTATTCACTGATTGGTCGGCCAGCCCACTGTCCACAGCTATATAAGGTCAATGTGAAAGCGAGAAATTCAAGTTCGGTTTGGAACTTCAGGTTGGCATAAAGTTCTCTTCAGAGCTTCAGGTTGACATCAAGTTTGTCGTAGATCTTCAAGTGTGCATTAAAGTTCGAGTCAAGTCTGGATTCGTCTTTCTGTCTGTTCTTCAACAGCTGGAAGAAGGTTACTTCTAGCCAACAACTCGTCGATTTGTTGTAAGGTGTCTTCTCAACGGACAAGGACTGAAAATATGAACTATCTGAACTTTGCATAGTGTTATTGGTGTACGGAGGTGGTAGTCAATTGTGAAAATACTGTACATTTTTAAACTTTACTCCACATATCTCCCCTCACCCTGCTTCTCATCCTGAAATTGATTTCTTGATTGACAACCTTATATAATTTATCCAGTTATTAATCTGCAACAGTAAAACTGTATGACTCCCCAAGGAGAAAAAAAATCAATTATTTTTGGTTACTATTCATTAATAAATCTTGTGATCTGTTAATCTGTTTATATCTGTTACAAAAATATAAATTTATTATAATTCTTCCTTTATAAATTTTCTGAATTTTTCCACTGGTTATCTGTACTAAATTACAATATGAATATTAATCTGATTCACTGGTGTACTTTTTGTACTGTAGAGGCTCAAATATTCTTGATTTATGAAAACATTTGAAAACGATTGTGCGCTTTTAAATATATTATTATACATTGCACTTTAAAAACTTTAAAGATGATTAACTATTTATAATTATTTAATAAGTATTAAATATATTTATTTACTTATTTTATTCATTTAGATTTACGTTTAAAAATTTTAAGTGAAAATAGTGGATGCCATGGTGCTTCTCAGCTTATCAGTTGGATCAAAGGAAGTTTTGATGCACTTGAAAAAAAATATGTAAGATTTAAATTGTATATTTTATAAACAGTTATAAAAATAATGTGGAATTATCCTTTGAATAATTTAGTAATAAGTAGTAAAATGTAACAAAATGTTATTTAGTTTTAATGTTAAAAATACAAGTAATGTTCTTACAATTATAATTTTGGTTTTATGTAAATTTATCTTATAACTGATTAAAATAACTGATCGTTTTCTTATTTTATATTTTCAGCTTCGACAGTTAATGATTGGAGTAAGTATATAATTTTTATTTTAATGATTTATATGATTATTTATTTTAAATTTAATTCAGTTTATAGAAATGTAGGAAATTGATATAAACATAAATAACCAAATGTATAAAAATTGATAATTTATAGTCTAAATATTAACCACAGAATTATATCTGTAATCTTTTTATAAATGTGATGGTATATCTTCATCTATCTAATTTTTTTCTTTTATATGCTCTTCATTAATTGTTGTGATTTTGAATATGGTTGTGATCTTTTTTAATCTTTAAGGCATATAATTATTAACTTTTTATTAATAAATTGATAGGATAATACAAAATTATAAAATCATATCACATGAATATTCAAAACAAAACATTATAAATAAATGATTATGATAAAAGTGAACAAAAATGCCATTACACTAATTATTAACGTCCACTTTATCATCAGTTATACTACTAATCTCTAAACTAGAATCCTATTTTTTTCAAAGTGATAACATTAGAATTTAAGTAAACATTGTTTCATATATATTTGATGCCATTCAAACTCTTTGTAATTGGAAATCATCATCTATTGTGTGAAACTAAAACTTAATAATAAGAGTTTGATTTAGGTCCAAGATATTGCCATATTTGAATTTGAGAGCCTTAATTTCAGGATATACATAGTAATAATAATACTCATTAAATTTCATCATTTCAGTGCATTCATTTACAATAAATTTGTGCAGATAAACTGCAGCGACAAATACCTCACAGAAAATTGCAAGAATAAAAATGAGACCTTTGTATATGTGCCCTATCATATACGCTAATGCTTCAGGGGCAGTAGTTGAAAGCAAGATTAATTACCAATATGCAGTTTAGAAGTTACCATCTCAAGCATTAAAATATTGTTTTTTCTGTTTCATTTCTGTTAACAAATTATTATAGATACACATGTCTACAGAAAATTTTCTAGGGGAAAAAGCTCGAAAACCAATAATGTCATCAATAAATATGTGACTAAAGGATCAGCCCTGCATCAGCATTAGGATTGACACCATTGTGACCGTTAGTTTTGTTTTGCTAATGCAAGCAATCATATATGTAAGTGGTTGGATTTAGGATGGAGGAGGTCTAGAGAGTGTGCCAGAAATAATGCACTCCGCTACACATTTAACAAATCTAATACCCATTTATTTAACCAAAAGACCATACAATGTTACAGTTTACAGCCGCAGATCATGATGGGATAGTCTATTCAGTCATGAGAGAGTTTACAAAATTGGGCACATGTTGATAAATACCTTGATTCTTGAGTCTAAGTCTTGAGATGGTGGATTGGCACTTGACAATCTGGATAACAAGTAGATGGGTGCTGGGCTGTCAGAATAGCAGTTATATTGGTGCTGGGCCAGTTGGATAACAGGTAGATTGGTGCTGACAATGAACAGCGATAACTGGGATGGGTGGCAGAGTGCAGCGAGATCACCTTTCACCAAGATAGGATTGACAAAAACCCTCTGCTGTCATCATTCATTTTCCTTTTTATTTGGGGGTCCTCTCCCTCAATTCTAATGCCCATTTTTGGTCATGTTTGCTACTCCAATACATGAATTTGGTGTTCAGTTCCCAATGAACAGCTATTTGGAAGATGTGTCACTTTTGTAAATGAAGCAGATCTGTGGAAAATATAGTGTGTCCCAAAAATATAGATAATCTATGTGTTCTTATTTTTTTTAAATATTAAGTATTTCTTAATGCAAGTGGTTATTATTGTTTATTTATAGCATAATACAATATTATATAATTGTTTTTTACAATATTTGACAGTTACATAAAGTGTGAAATTCAAAATACTTGTTTTATGATGTCCAAAAATATAGATAAATTTAAACTTTGAGCAATAGTTTATAATATAAATTGACGAAAATTGTTTTAATATGAAATACAACTGCCATTATGTTTAATGACTTTAAAAATGCAATTAGGCATTGATTTAAATAAATTGTGTGAGGTCGCCGATTAGGGGGGAGTTTATTCCCTACTGTTGGGATGGACTAACGTTAATTTGTATGTGGGTGGTAGTTTAAGGAGGTAGGAAGAGACAAGTATTTTACAAAGAAACCATTTATTTAGGTGACAGTGCTTACATAATTAGGTCAATGTCCAGAAGTCTGGAGTTTGGTTCACGTTGTCTTCAAAAGCTTTTTCCTTTCTCTTTTCATGTTGGCGAAGCCCCAGGGCATTGGCAAGTTGGTCTTCGTTGATGTTGAAATTAACCACATGAAATGTCAAAGGATTCACAAAGAACTGGGGACGTTGTGTGCACCTGATGATCTGGAGAGGATGAAGCCCTTCTGTCCTTTTCGAACTAGTTCTTATCAAAAACTCTTGGTTCATCGCTTATTGGCTAGACCTTTTTCTCCTTGTTTCTCAATTGGTCTCCACCTGTCTCCAGGTGTAAATGGAGCTCTGTTCAGGGTGCAGGAAAGGTCAACTAGAGATATCTATCTGACACCATCTCTTAGACTCTTATCACATTTTGTCGATGACTATGACACCCATGCTCATTCTAATATTTTTCTAGTTTCATTTTACTTTCTAAACTGTGTATTAAGTTTTAAATATTTTCCTTTTTAGTTTTCTTTATCTAAAATTTTGTTTCTTCTGCTATTCTTTATGAGCGTCGACGTCAAAGTCCAGTGTCACCAACTCGACACTTATATAATTTGTTTTCTTGACAGTTTAACTTAACAAATTGTACATTTTTCTTTTTTTGCTCTATTTCCAGGCCTCACAATTGTAAGATTTCTGGGTCCATTTGAAACAGGCACTCAATGATTTTTTGTTTAAGCTCTGAAACTGTCATAAAATGCCTGTTATTAGCATAAATTTTTTGAGCAAGAATGCACTCACAAGTTCTAAATTGGTTTTATGTCCCGGCATCTTGCTGGTCACTTAGTTGTCGAGTATGAACAATGAATACGATATCTGTCTATCAGTTTAAAATTACTAAATTTGATAAACCATTAAATCCAAAGCAGCCCCACATCATAACAGAATCATCACCTTTTTGCCTGAAAAATCACTCCTTTTTGCTAATTTCATACCAGTAATTAGGCTATCTAAATTAAATTTCTTTTCATCACTGAAAAGAATTGAGTTATTGGTTATTCCACAGTGCATCCCACTGCATTCTTGCTAATTTGTGTTATTTTGTTAGTTGTGGTTTTTTCATCATGGCAGAAATTTATGTGGAACTGTTGAACTTCTTTGATAAACAGTGCTTTTTGATATTTTTAATTCACTTTCAAACAGAATTTGACAAACTGATTTATCCTGTTATGATGCAAGGCACACAATTTGATTATCATTCCTTTGAGACGTAATTTTGGGTCTTCCTAATTGATGTTTAGAGGGTATTGGTGATGATTTTCCCAAAATTTTATAAATTCCAAGATTAGACCTGTTCATTAAAATAGCAATTTTCTTGACAAAACAGCCTTCTGCTTTTAATTTCCATATTCTTTCAATTTCTTCCATACTAAATACTTTTCCACGTGACATTTTGAAAAGTTTTATTCAATATTCAAATTGTTACTTGACAACTAAGTTAGTGTTAACTTGACATTATTTATTATTATTTTCATAATTGTAAGTTTCTTATGCTTGAAATTTTAAAACTGTTTTATTATCTATACCAGGTGTTGCCAAACTTTTATCCTTTAGGGGCTACTTTTTTGGTAAAATATAGTCTGCGGGCAACTATGAATATGGGCAATCAATTTTAGGATTTTTATATGCACATGCATTAACATTCATTTGCATTGTTCATCGGGATAAATACAAACAATGTGGGTATGTTGCACAGACAGTCTATTATTGTAAGAATAAATTATCGAATTAAGATTTTTAAACATCAATTTAAGTGAAAGCAAATTGTTCAACTTTAGCTTCGTGGGCTACTTTCAAAACCTTTGCAGTCGACCGGTCGAACGCGGTCTATGTGTTGGCCATCCCTGATCTATACTTTTGGGACAGCCCAAAAAAATATTTTTGTTGTTAAGTTATTAATGTTATATGATTTTTAATTTTAAAATTATCAATAATCAGTGTAATTGAATATACAAATGAAATCATTCTCATTTATCTTAAATTCCTAACAATTCTGAAAAGTAGTAAAATGTTGATTATCTATACTTTTGGGATGCACTGTATAATCACTTCCTGAATGGTATCTATGCTATATTTGTTGAGAGTTCAAAAAAAATTAATTTAACACTTACTTTTTTTTGAATAAATTTTTCTGTTTAGCCCAGGTTCTCACAAATATTTATTTAATTATTTAATTTTTTGGGATTTTAAGACAGGTAAAGCATACATAGGGTATAAAGATACATATCACAATCACTTTTACAATTATTATTTTTTGAATTTTTTATTTTATCCCAAGGAGGGAAAAGCGCCCCATTTTGCTTTCCTCTGCAGACTACCATATAGATATACATAAACAAACAAGGTTTAAATATTCTATAATAATCATATTAATTTCTTGATTATTCAGACAGAATTGTACATTTTAGTATAATAAAAACTTTCTCCATTAATTCATCATTATATAATAATTAAATAACTTTCAATTTAAATGCACATTAGCAAAGACAATACCTTACTACAGTGATGTACACACAAGCATACACTTATGTATTATCTTTGCAAATGTATGTTTGAAAATGTGTCATGTATGTTACTATATTTAGCCTTTACGGAGAAGTGGTTATTGTGAAATCTCTCTGAAATATTAACAGATGCTCATTGAGTAGAGGAATTCATTCTTTACTCAATGAGCATCTGTTAATTTGATTGCAAGTGTGAGATTAGCAGTGGGCCACGGGTTGATCCCAAACTGACCACTTACTCTACAATGAGTTGGGTAAACCTGCTCTCGGGGCTTAGGAGGGCTTTTTATCGAGTGGTGAGGGAGGTGAGCAAGTCAGCAGGTGTCCTTTTGAGACAGAAGACAGGTTTAATAAAATAACAAAGCATTTATTGAATAACTAAATCTAAGTTACAGGAATACTAAGGTTAAATGTGGTTATATTAAAATATTTACAGAATATGGCGACTAATTTCATAGCTATGTCGCTGACCTAATTTCTAGTTCGAGAGAGAGAGTGCTTTTACAAATTTTAAATCCCCTACATATATCTCGGCGTAATGGAGAGTTAGTGCATTGTTTATATGGAAGAGGTAGGAGTCCTCTGTATCTTCTATCCGATGTCTTCTCCCTGGTGCTGGATCGGGTCCACTGTTTGGAGGTTCGGGAGTCGAGGTGGCACTATCACCAAGTATAACTTCCTATGACGAATTGCCCGGAGCTTTTGGGGACTCGTGCTTTTATCCTTGTCGTGAGAGAGCTGACACGTCATCGACTTTTGTTGACGATGACGGTGCATTCTTCACACCTAAGTGTAAACTTTCCCAGTTAGTTGTTATACAATCGGTGAAATCCAATCTAGTTCAAATTCTTTGGGTTTTTTCCGAGGATATTTACAATTAACAGAAAATTTCGATTTTTAAGAGGCCTGTAAAAATCCGCGGGCTCACACAAGTGTTTATGAACTGCCCTAATTATGTAAATTAAGTGTAAAAATAGAAATGATTTTTTGTTTTTTATTTTATGACTAATTTTCTTTGTCCAGTAATAATAATAATAAAATAAACAGAAAATAGTTATAGTTTAAATCAAGTTTAATTTGTGATTGAAATTTAAACTTGTTACCTCATAACTCACCCAATGCATAATCTGCATCTTCTTTCAAACACAGATAACCTATTGGTTATCTACATAAAATTTCAGTAAATGCCATGTCTTACATGAATACAATCTGTTTCAACATGCTTCTAAAATTTCTATGTTGTTGTGAGATATATTATGTTAGAACTGACAAAAGGGATCTAGCCAAGGTTGTCGTGTAAAACAAAAGTTTAATTTGTGATTCCTGTTACAATCATAATTATTCACAAAAAACATTTAATGCATAAAGTTTATGCATTAAATGTTTTTTTGTGAATAATTATTGGTTTATGCCATAAACAAACAATGCCTTAACCTATATTAAAACAATCTTTTTTCTTGTCTCTATCTTACATAACTTGCACAATCTTTGGTCTGATTCAACAACAGTAATTTTCTCATCTTAAGTAATCTTGTAATTAATTTTAATTTTGACTTACATCTGAAACACATCTTTGTGTCATTCTAACTAGTGAAAAAATAATCAAGTAAAGTCAAAAATTAAAATTATAAAATAACTTTTAAATTATTTGAGAATATTTGCAAGTTTATTACAAAATCACCAGCAGGATGTTCTTTAATTAATAACAAAAATCTGTTTTATTGGAGCTTGTTTACAAAGTGAACTAATTTGATAGGGAATCTCTTGATGATGGATCGATTGTTCAAAAATAGTAGAGTTGTTATTTAATACAGATTTTTGTTATGGTATTTAAAAAAGTTTGAGTTGAGTTCATTATGAATGCTCTTTGTGATTAAATGACCAATGTCCTTTTGTTCATTCATTACTTTTAGACCACACACTCTTTGGATAGAGCAGTTACAATAGTGTCTTTTTAGGATCTCTCATTTGCTTTCAAATAGCCATTGTTGTTTAGTATAGATACTGTTAAGTTTCATTCTTTTGTTTGCTATTTTTTTAATTTGATCAATGTGGTTATGGCCATATATTTTTGGACATGTTTTGCTGACTTGCTGCAGACTACTTTGGACTTTCAGAGAGATCTCCACTAAAAAATAAAATACAAATTAACACAAGTAAAATGAATTCAGAATGAAAACAAATTTTAGTATAATAAAAACTAGGTGGAGATATTGAATGTTCTAGAATTATACAGAAATTCTAAAGGAAATGAAAGCAGTTTAAGCAGGAGCATAAAGAAATATCTTCTGATAACTGTCCTGTATATGTATGAGGTATGGTTGTCAGAAATGTATTCTTAATGCAAAAGATGACAACTTACTTTTGCCTGTTGAAACTACTTTAGAAGATTACAAGACGAATAAACAGAAACAATTGAACAAGAATAACAAATATATTGATTCAGTAGCATAACTATAATATTAAAGGGATCTGAATTAGAAAATACAAATCTACATTTACTCTGTACCTTTATGAATGTAACTGCTAACACTGTAGATAAAGAGTAAATTTTTAGATATTTTATATAGTGTACATGTGTATAAGTACAGATATTGCATGTAGCTTCTTTCTGTGATCCTACAAATGTTAAGGCAATAATCCATCTCACATAAGACTCAGAGTAGAGTTAGAAGTTTTATAAAAGAAACACTCCCAATAAAGGCTGAAACATGTTACATATAAAAATATTTTTAGAAAACAGAAGAGTATTTTTTATATATATTATTATATTCTTTTTCATACTTCAGGAACTAACAAAATCACACTGTGGAATTAACATTTTTTTTGAGACTCTTATCAGCCTCCATACATAAATCTTGCTAAAAGCATCCCTCCAGTATAGAGTGTAAATACCAGTTTTGTTGGTGGATGCGATAATTCTTGAGCATAATTCTAGTAAATTGCATGGCTTTGATGGCACAAAGACTCTAAATTGAGTCAGAAATCTGCACTAAACTATTAAAATGGAATTTGTCTTTGCAAACTCAAACATAGAATGCTTCTGTCTTTTGCCATTTTTTACTTGTGATTACTATCTTTCAAATAGTGAATTATTAAAATTTTTGTATAAGTTTTTTTGTTAAAATTTCTGTATAGTTTAGTGAATTATTCTTGGCTGAGGCTACTTCTGAACACTGCCATGTACAGTACTTAATAAATAAAATTAGGTCTGGCATTATGAATAGTTCTGTACATAAATAGTGTATACAGTAGAGTCTTGTACAACGTGCAAATAAAGCAAGCAACACCCTCAAATTTTGTCAGAGGTATATGTATTTTTTTCAACTTATAGGCCAAGGTTTAAACTGCCATAAATTGTGTGATAATGCAGGTTTCGATAATGCAATTTCCTATAATGCATAACGTTGTACGGGACTCTACTGTATGTGTGTGTTCAGTAGAATAGCAAAGGAAAGTTTATTAAATATCGTAATTATTTTGCATTAAAGTATGCAACTTATTTTTAAAGCAAATTGTCAAATTATACAATTTTTAAGTGTTTTGTAATTAATATTTATATTTTATTAAAGCATTTTGATTAAATTAAGTAAAATTTAAATTTAAAAGTAATATAATATTCTTTCAATTTACTATATTTTAATATTAATAGATGATTAATTTTAATTTAATGATTGTTGTTAGTTGTATTAATAAATTATAACCTTAAGTTGTTATTAATTTTTATATTTCTGTTTCAGATTTATGAAAGTCCAGATGAACCTGATGTGAGTGTCTTTTTCAAATGTAGAAATAAATTTTATGTATCAAATAATAAGATATAAAATTGTTTAATATTATTGAGTAACTATATGAAAAGTAGTTCACTTTGTAAATTAAAATATACAAAATTTATGTTTTTTTATAATGGATTTAATTTGATTACTGTAATTTCCTGTGTATAAACTGCAGGTTATCTGTGCTTTAAAGTCACTTTGAAAGCAGGCACAGGCTGTCTGTTCTAGAAATTTTTGTAGGTTATATACAAGAAATTATAGTAGTTTTATATAAAATTTTTAATCTAACTTTATGTAGACATTTATTTATTATGTATCAGTTAAGATTGAATTGATTTATAAATTTAATTTTATTTAGAATGTGATAGAATCATATACATTCCGATTTATTTATGAAAATGACAGTACTATGATTATGTGGTAAGTAACAGCAATTTAATTTTCATTTATATAATACAAGGCAAAAATAGATGTATTACAAGGCATCAATTAGTGTCACTATGAAAGCAATGTTATCAGATTTGAGACATTAAATCTCTTTTCTGTTCCAAAACAGTTGTTTTCATATTATTCATTTACATATAAAATTTTAATTTTTTTGTCTTAAATACTTAAACTATTAGATATTAAATGCAAGTTATTAGATATCTTCTAAATTATATTGTTTAAAATTAATTTCAATTATGAATTTTAAATCTGTTTATAAAATATTAATAGTTTGTTAAAATTATGCTAACTTCAATCAATTTTCATATATCCATCTATAACAAATGCTTATTAAAGTTACTTATTTCAAAATTTATGAAATTTAGAAAATAAGTTGCAATTATTCACAAAAAGTATTGTATTATTGATATTTTGAGTAATTTCCAAACAATTTAATACAGTACTTAATTTTTAATTGTTTATCTCTAGCAGTAGTAACCTTTTTCATTGCTTATATCCCTCAAATTTTCAAAATATGTTTTTGTATCTCTATAAAGATTCATTAAATTATTAATTTAAGGTGTTATGTGTTATTTACTCATTTCATTTTTTTGCATGTACTTTGTACATGCAAAAAGACATAAAAAACATTAAAAAAAATTACATTGTACCTTAACTTTGGTGCATCTTTGTGATTAAGAAAGAAAACTCATCTATAACTATTCATAGTTATAGAAACATTTAAATTGTAGCTTGATCAAACCATTTTTTTTTTCTTTTCTTTTTTCTAAAATTGGCTACTTCCTATCAAAAATAATAGTTTTGAGTTCTTTTATTGGTTGCTTCAGGAAGCACTTTAAGGAGAAGATTGTGTGATTGGTTTGTCCAAAAGGAGAGACCAATCACGTGACTTTCTCTGTGTCACTAGTCAGAATGAATGTTTTCAGGAGAGAGTGCAGACACATGGAGAGTGCTGACTATTGTCCAATCTTGGAAAGAGAGAACAATTCATCTCCATTAAGGACAGATTATATCAAATAATGACAACAATGTGTTATATGGGTGATACTGGATTCCAAATATTTCTCTAAAAAGTTAGACTTTTTTGTTCTTGTGTGTGTATGGCCTAGATAATCAATGATGTTAACCTGTGGGCAATAGAGAGAATACTTAGCATGTGGTCTCCAGGTACCATTCAAAGTTTTGGTGAAAAGTTTTTTGGAAAGGAGAAGAAAGCTCTGAAAAACTTCCTTTCGAGTCAAAGGTGGACAGGAAAAAAAAATGGAATTCTACCAACCACTCTTTCTCTTGCCCCCTTTTTAATTTTGAAATATATTCTAACTATCAGGTCAGTCCATAAGTTCGTGCGCATTTTTATCTACAAAAAAGCAACAAAAAATTTTAATTACATTTTATTTCAATCTATAATGTATTCACCATTATTTTGTACAATTTCTTGCCATCTTGATGGTAGCTTTTTAATCCCGTCTTTGTAAAATGATTTCGGTTTTGAATCAAAATATTCAGAAATAGCCTTTTTTACATTGTTCTCATCCTCAAANTATCACATGAATATTCAAAACAAAACATTATAAATAAATGATTATGATAAAAGTGAACAAAAATGCCATTACACTAATTATTAACGTCCACTTTATCATCAGTTATACTACTAATCTCTAAACTAGAATCCTATTTTTTTCAAAGTGATAACATTAGAATTTAAGTAAACATTGTTTCATATATATTTGATGCCATTCAAACTCTTTGTAATTGGAAATCATCATCTATTGTGTGAAACTAAAACTTAATAATAAGAGTTTGATTTAGGTCCAAGATATTGCCATATTTGAATTTGAGAGCCTTAATTTCAGGATATACATAGTAATAATAATACTCATTAAATTTCATCATTTCAGTGCATTCATTTACAATAAATTTGTGCAGATAAACTGCAGCGACAAATACCTCACAGAAAATTGCAAGAATAAAAATGAGACCTTTGTATATGTGCCCTATCATATACGCTAATGCTTCAGGGGCAGTAGTTGAAAGCAAGATTAATTACCAATATGCAGTTTAGAAGTTACCATCTCAAGCATTAAAATATTGTTTTTTCTGTTTCATTTCTGTTAACAAATTATTATAGATACACATGTCTACAGAAAATTTTCTAGGGGAAAAAGCTCGAAAACCAATAATGTCATCAATAAATATGTGACTAAAGGATCAGCCCTGCATCAGCATTAGGATTGACACCATTGTGACCGTTAGTTTTGTTTTGCTAATGCAAGCAATCATATATGTAAGTGGTTGGATTTAGGATGGAGGAGGTCTAGAGAGTGTGCCAGAAATAATGCACTCCGCTACACATTTAACAAATCTAATACCCATTTATTTAACCAAAAGACCATACAATGTTACAGTTTACAGCCGCAGATCATGATGGGATAGTCTATTCAGTCATGAGAGAGTTTACAAAATTGGGCACATGTTGATAAATACCTTGATTCTTGAGTCTAAGTCTTGAGATGGTGGATTGGCACTTGACAATCTGGATAACAAGTAGATGGGTGCTGGGCTGTCAGAATAGCAGTTATATTGGTGCTGGGCCAGTTGGATAACAGGTAGATTGGTGCTGACAATGAACAGCGATAACTGGGATGGGTGGCAGAGTGCAGCGAGATCACCTTTCACCAAGATAGGATTGACAAAAACCCTCTGCTGTCATCATTCATTTTCCTTTTTATTTGGGGGTCCTCTCCCTCAATTCTAATGCCCATTTTTGGTCATGTTTGCTACTCCAATACATGAATTTGGTGTTCAGTTCCCAATGAACAGCTATTTGGAAGATGTGTCACTTTTGTAAATGAAGCAGATCTGTGGAAAATATAGTGTGTCCCAAAAATATAGATAATCTATATGTTCTTATTTTTTTTAAATATTAAGTATTTCTTAATGCAAGTGGTTATTATTGTTTATTTATAGCATAATACAATATTATATAATTGTTTTTTACAATATTTGACAGTTACATAAAGTGTGAAATTCAAAATACTTGTTTTATGATGTCCAAAAATATAGATAAATTTAAACTTTGAGCAATAGTTTATAATATAAATTGACGAAAATTGTTTTAATATGAAATACAACTGCCATTATGTTTAATGACTTTAAAAATGCAATTAGGCATTGATTTAAATAAATTGTGTGAGGTCGCCGATTAGGGGGGAGTTTATTCCCTACTGTTGGGATGGACTAACGTTAATTTGTATGTGGGTGGTAGTTTAAGGAGGTAGGAAGAGACAAGTATTTTACAAAGAAACCATTTATTTAGGTGACAGTGCTTACATAATTAGGTCAATGTCCAGAAGTCTGGAGTTTGGTTCACGTTGTCTTCAAAAGCTTTTTCCTTTCTCTTTTCATGTTGGCGAAGCCCCAGGGCATTGGCAAGTTGGTCTTCGTTGATGTTGAAATTAACCACATGAAATGTCAAAGGATTCACAAAGAACTGGGGACGTTGTGTGCACCTGATGATCTGGAGAGGATGAAGCCCTTCTGTCCTTTTCGAACTAGTTCTTATCAAAAACTCTTGGTTCATCGCTTATTGGCTAGACCTTTTTCTCCTTGTTTCTCAATTGGTCTCCACCTGTCTCCAGGTGTAAATGGAGCTCTGTTCAGGGTGCAGGAAAGGTCAACTAGAGATATCTATCTGACACCATCTCTTAGACTCTTATCACATTTTGTCGATGACTATGACACCCATGCTCATTCTAATATTTTTCTAGTTTCATTTTACTTTCTAAACTGTGTATTAAGTTTTAAATATTTTCCTTTTTAATTTTCTTTATCTAAAATTTTGTTTCTTCTGCTATTCTTTATGAGCGTCGACGTCAAAGTCCAGTGTCACCAACTCGACACTTATATAATTTGTTTTCTTGACAGTTTAACTTAACAAATTGTACATTTTTCTTTTTTTGCTCTATTTCCAGGCCTCACAATTGTAAGATTTCTGGGTCCATTTGAAACAGGCACTCAATGATTTTTTGTTTAAGCTCTGAAACTGTCATAAAATGCCTGTTATTAGCATAAATTTTTTGAGCAAGAATGCACTCACAAGTTCTAAATTGGTTTTATGTCCCGGCATCTTGCTGGTCACTTAGTTGTCGAGTATGAACAATGAATACTGGCATTGTCCTGCTGGAAAATCCAGTCAGGTCCTCCAATTTTTTCTCCAGTAGGTATTAAATAATTTTTTAGGATTTCTTCATAACTTTTAGATATCTGTCTATCAGTTTAAAATTACTAAATTTGATAAACCATTAAATCCAAAGCAGCCCCACATCATAACAGAATCATCACCTTTTTGCCTGAAAAATCACTCCTTTTTGCTAATTTCATACCAGTAATTAGGCTATCTAAATTAAATTTCTTTTCATCACTGAAAAGAATTGAGTTATTGGTTATTCCACAGTGCATCCCACTGCATTCTTGCTAATTTGTGTTATTTTGTTAGTTGTGGTTTTTTCATCATAGCAGAAATTTATGTGGAACTGTTGAACTTCTTTGATAAACAGTGCTTTTTGATATTTTTAATTCACTTTCAAACAGAATTTGACAAACTGATTTATCCTGTTATGATGCAAGGCACACAATTTGATTATCATTCCTTTGAGACGTAATTTTGGGTCTTCCTAATTGATGTTTAGAGGGTATTGGTGATGATTTTCCCAAAATTTTATAAATTCCAAGATTAGACCTGTTCATTAAAATAGCAATTTTCTTGACAAAACAGCCTTCTGCTTTTAATTTCCATATTCTTTCAATTTCTTCCATACTAAATACTTTTCCACGTGACATTTTGAAAAGTTTTATTCAATATTCAAATTGTTACTTGACAACTAAGTTAGTGTTAACTTGACATTATTTATTATTATTTTCATAATTGTAAGTTTCTTATGCTTGAAATTTTAAAACTGTTTTATTATCTATACCAGGTGTTGCCAAACTTTTATCCTTTAGGGGCTACTTTTTTGGTAAAATATAGTCTGCGGGCAACTATGAATATGGGCAATCAATTTTAGGATTTTTATATGCACATGCATTAACATTCATTTGCATTGTTCATCGGGATAAATACAAACAATGTGGGTATGTTGCACAGACAGTCTATTATTGTAAGAATAAATTATCGAATTAAGATTTTTAAACATCAATTTAAGTGAAAGCAAATTGTTCAACTTTAGCTTCGTGGGCTACTTTCAAAACCTTTGCAGTCGACCGGTCGAACGCGGTCTATGTGTTGGCCATCCCTGATCTATACTTTTGGGACAGCCCAAAAAAATATTTTTGTTGTTAAGTTATTAATGTTATATGATTTTTAATTTTAAAATTATCAATAATCAGTGTAATTGAATATACAAATGAAATCATTCTCATTTATCTTAAATTCCTAACAATTCTGAAAAGTAGTAAAATGTTGATTATCTATACTTTTGGGATGCACTGTATAATCACTTCCTGAATGGTATCTATGCTATATTTGTTGAGAGTTCAAAAAAAATTAATTTAACACTTACTTTTTTTTGAATAAATTTTTCTGTTTAGCCCAGGTTCTCACAAATATTTATTTAATTATTTAATTTTTTGGGATTTTAAGACAGGTAAAGCATACATAGGGTATAAAGATACATATCACAATCACTTTTACAATTATTATTTTTTGAATTTTTTATTTTATCCCAAGGAGGGAAAAGCGCCCCATTTTGCTTTCCTCTGCAGACTACCATATAGATATACATAAACAAACAAGGTTTAAATATTCTATAATAATCATATTAATTTCTTGATTATTCAGACAGAATTGTACATTTTAGTATAATAAAAACTTTCTCCATTAATTCATCATTATATAATAATTAAATAACTTTCAATTTAAATGCACATTAGCAAAGACAATACCTTACTACAGTGATGTACACACAAGCATACACTTATGTATTATCTTTGCAAATGTATGTTTGAAAATGTGTCATGTATGTTACTATATTTAGCCTTTACGGAGAAGTGGTTATTGTGAAATCTCTCTGAAATATTAACAGATGCTCATTGAGTAGAGGAATTCATTCTTTACTCAATGAGCATCTGTTAATTTGATTGCAAGTGTGAGATTAGCAGTGGGCCACGGGTTGATCCCAAACTGACCACTTACTCTACAATGAGTTGGGTAAACCTGCTCTCGGGGTCTTAGGAGGGCTTTTTATCGAGTGGCGAGGGAGGTGAGCAAGTCAGCAGGTGTCCTTTTGAGACAGAAGACAGGTTTAATAAAATAACAAAGCATTTATTGAATAACTAAATCTAAGTTACAGGAATACTAAGGTTAAATGTGGTTATATTAAAATATTTACAGAATATGGCGACTAATTTCATAGCTATGTCGCTGACCTAATTTCTAGTTCGAGAGAGAGAGTGCTTTTACAAATTTTAAATCCCCTACATATATCTCGGCGTAATGGAGAGTTAGTGCATTGTTTATATGGAAGAGGTAGGAGTCCTCTGTATCTTCTATCCGATGTCTTCTCCCTGGTGCTGGATCGGGTCCACTGTTTGGAGGTTCGGGAGTCGAGGTGGCACTATCACCAAGTATAACTTCCTATGACGAATTGCCCGGAGCTTTTGGGGACTCGTGCTTTTATCCTTGTCGTGAGAGAGCTGACACGTCATCGACTTTTGTTGACGATGACGGTGCATTCTTCACACCTAAGTGTAAACTTTCCCAGTTAGTTGTTATACAATCGGTGAAATCCAATCTAGTTCAAATTCTTTGGGTTTTTTCCGAGGATATTTACAATTAACAGAAAATTTCGATTTTTAAGAGGCCTGTAAAAATCCGCGGGCTCACACAAGTGTTTATGAACTGCCCTAATTATGTAAATTAAGTGTAAAAATAGAAATGATTTTTTGTTTTTTATTTTATGACTAATTTTCTTTGTCCAGTAATAATAATAATAAAATAAACAGAAAATAGTTATAGTTTAAATCAAGTTTAATTTGTGATTGAAATTTAAACTTGTTACCTCATAACTCACCCAATGCATAATCTGCATCTTCTTTCAAACACAGATAACCTATTGGTTATCTACATAAAATTTCAGTAAATGCCATGTCTTACATGAATACAATCTGTTTCAACATGCTTCTAAAATTTCTATGTTGTTGTGAGATATATTATGTTAGAACTGACAAAAGGGATCTAGCCAAGGTTGTCGTGTAAAACAAAAGTTTAATTTGTGATTCCTGTTACAATCATAATTATTCACAAAAAACATTTAATGCATAAAGTTTATGCATTAAATGTTTTTTTGTGAATAATTATTGGTTTATGCCATAAACAAACAATGCCTTAACCTATATTAAAACAATCTTTTTTCTTGTCTCTATCTTACATAACTTGCACAATCTTTGGTCTGATTCAACAACAGTAATTTTCTCATCTTAAGTAATCTTGTAATTAATTTTAATTTTGACTTACATCTGAAACACATCTTTGTGTCATTCTAACTAGTGAAAAAATAATCAAGTAAAGTCAAAAATTAAAATTATAAAATAACTTTTAAATTATTTGAGAATATTTGCAAGTTTATTACAAAATCACCAGCAGGATGTTCTTTAATTAATAACAAAAATCTGTTTTATTGGAGCTTGTTTACAAAGTGAACTAATTTGATAGGGAATCTCTTGATGATGGATCGATTGTTCAAAAATAGTAGAGTTGTTATTTAATACAGATTTTTGTTATGGTATTTAAAAAAGTTTGAGTTGAGTTCATTATGAATGCTCTTTGTGATTAAATGACCAATGTCCTTTTGTTCATTCATTACTTTTAGACCACACACTCTTTGGATAGAGCAGTTACAATAGTGTCTTTTTAGGATCTCTCATTTGCTTTCAAATAGCCATTGTTGTTTAGTATAGATACTGTTAAGTTTCATTCTTTTGTTTGCTATTTTTTTAATTTGATCAATGTGGTTATGGCCATATATTTTTGTACATGTTTTGCTGACTTGCTGCAGACTACTTTGGACTTTCAGAGAGATCTCCACTAAAAAATAAAATACAAATTAACACAAGTAAAATGAATTCAGAATGAAAACAAATTTTAGTATAATAAAAACTAGGTGGAGATATTGAATGTTCTAGAATTATACAGAAATTCTAAAGGAAATGAAAGCAGTTTAAGCAGGAGCATAAAGAAATATCTTCTGATAACTGTCCTGTATATGTATGAGGTATGGTTGTCAGAAATGTATTCTTAATGCAAAAGATGACAACTTACTTTTGCCTGTTGAAACTACTTTAGAAGATTACAAGACGAATAAACAGAAACAATTGAACAAGAATAACAAATATATTGATTCAGTAGCATAACTATAATATTAAAGGGATCTGAATTAGAAAATACAAATCTACATTTACTCTGTACCTTTATGAATGTAACTGCTAACACTGTAGATAAAGAGTAAATTTTTAGATATTTTATATAGTGTACATGTGTATAAGTACAGATATTGCATGTAGCTTCTTTCTGTGATCCTACAAATGTTAAGGCAATAATCCATCTCACATAAGACTCAGAGTAGAGTTAGAAGTTTTATAAAAGAAACACTCCCAATAAAGGCTGAAACATGTTACATATAAAAATATTTTTAGAAAACAGAAGAGTATTTTTTATATATATTATTATATTCTTTTTCATACTTCAGGAACTAACAAAATCACACTGTGGAATTAACATTTTTTTTGAGACTCTTATCAGCCTCCATACATAAATCTTGCTAAAAGCATCCCTCCAGTATAGAGTGTAAATACCAGTTTTGTTGGTGGATGCGATAATTCTTGAGCATAATTCTAGTAAATTGCATGGCTTTGATGGCACAAAGACTCTAAATTGAGTCAGAAATCTGCACTAAACTATTAAAATGGAATTTGTCTTTGCAAACTCAAACATAGAATGCTTCTGTCTTTTGCCATTTTTTACTTGTGATTACTATCTTTCAAATAGTGAATTATTAAAATTTTTGTATAAGTTTTTTTGTTAAAATTTCTGTATAGTTTAGTGAATTATTCTTGGCTGAGGCTACTTCTGAACACTGCCATGTACAGTACTTAATAAATAAAATTAGGTCTGGCATTATGAATAGTTCTGTACATAAATAGTGTATACAGTAGAGTCTTGTACAACGTGCAAATAAAGCAAGCAACACCCTCAAATTTTGTCAGAGGTATATGTATTTTTTTCAACTTATAGGCCAAGGTTTAAACTGCCATAAATTGTGTGATAATGCAGGTTTCGATAATGCAATTTCCTATAATGCATAACGTTGTACGGGACTCTACTGTATGTGTGTGTTCAGTAGAATAGCAAAGGAAAGTTTATTAAATATCGTAATTATTTTGCATTAAAGTATGCAACTTATTTTTAAAGCAAATTGTCAAATTATACAATTTTTAAGTGTTTTGTAATTAATATTTATATTTTATTAAAGCATTTTGATTAAATTAAGTAAAATTTAAATTTAAAAGTAATATAATATTCTTTCAATTTACTATATTTTAATATTAATAGATGATTAATTTTAATTTAATGATTGTTGTTAGTTGTATTAATAAATTATAACCTTAAGTTGTTATTAATTTTTATATTTCTGTTTCAGATTTATGAAAGTCCAGATGAACCTGATGTGAGTGTCTTTTTCAAATGTAGAAATAAATTTTATGTATCAAATAATAAGATATAAAATTGTTTAATATTATTGAGTAACTATATGAAAAGTAGTTCACTTTGTAAATTAAAATATACAAAATTTATGTTTTTTTATAATGGATTTAATTTGATTACTGTAATTTCCTGTGTATAAACTGCAGGTTATCTGTGCTTTAAAGTCACTTTGAAAGCAGGCACAGGCTGTCTGTTCTAGAAATTTTTGTAGGTTATATACAAGAAATTATAGTAGTTTTATATAAAATTTTTAATCTAACTTTATGTAGACATTTATTTATTATGTATCAGTTAAGATTGAATTGATTTATAAATTTAATTTTATTTAGAATGTGATAGAATCATATACATTCCGATTTATTTATGAAAATGACAGTACTATGATTATGTGGTAAGTAACAGCAATTTAATTTTCATTTATATAATACAAGGCAAAAATAGATGTATTACAAGGCATCAATTAGTGTCACTATGAAAGCAATGTTATCAGATTTGAGACATTAAATCTCTTTTCTGTTCCAAAACAGTTGTTTTCATATTATTCATTTACATATAAAATTTTAATTTTTTTGTCTTAAATACTTAAACTATTAGATATTAAATGCAAGTTATTAGATATCTTCTAAATTATATTGTTTAAAATTAATTTCAATTATGAATTTTAAATCTGTTTATAAAATATTAATAGTTTGTTAAAATTATGCTAACTTCAATCAATTTTCATATATCCATCTATAACAAATGCTTATTAAAGTTACTTATTTCAAAATTTATGAAATTTAGAAAATAAGTTGCAATTATTCACAAAAAGTATTGTATTATTGATATTTTGAGTAATTTCCAAACAATTTAATACAGTACTTAATTTTTAATTGTTTATCTCTAGCAGTAGTAACCTTTTTCATTGCTTATATCCCTCAAATTTTCAAAATATGTTTTTGTATCTCCATAAAGATTCATTAAATTATTTATTTAAGGTGTTATGTGTTATTTACTCATTTCATTTTTTTGCATGTACTTTGTACATGCAAAAAGACATAAAAAACATAAAAAAAAAATTACATTGTACCTTAACTTTGGTGCATCTTTGTGATTAAGAAAGAAAACTCATCTATAACTATTCATAGTTATAGAAACATTTAAATTGTAGCTTGATCAAACCATTTTTTTTTTCTTTTCTTTTTTCTAAAATTGGCTACTTCCTATCAAAAATAATAGTTTTGAGTTCTTTTATTGGTTGCTTCAGGAAGCACTTTAAGGAGAAGATTGTGTGATTGGTTTGTCCAAAAGGAGAGACCAATCACGTGACTTTCTCTGTGTCACTAGTCAGAATGAATGTTTTCAGGAGAGAGTGCAGACACACGGAGAGTGCTGACTATTGTCCAATCTTGGAAAGAGAGAACAATTCATCTCCATTAAGGACAGATTATATGAAATAATGACAACAATGTGTTATATGGGTGATACTGGATTCCAAATATTTCTCTAAAAAGTTAGACTTTTTTGTTCTTGTGTGTGTATGGCCTAGATAATCAATGATGTTAACCTGTGGGCAATAGAGAGAATACTTAGCATGTGGTCTCCAGGTACCATTCAAAGTTTTGGTGAAAAGTTTTTTGGAAAGGAGAAGAAAGCTCAGAAAAACTTCCTTTCGAGTCAAAGGTGGACAGGAAAAAAAAATGGAATTCTACCAACCACTCTTTCTCTTGCCCCCTTCTTAATTTTGAAATATATTCTAACTATCAGGTCAGTCCATAAGTTTGTGCGCATTTTTATCTACAAAAAAGCAACAAAAAATTTTAATTACATTTTATTTCAATCTATAATGTATTCACCATTATTTTGTACAATTTCTTGCCATCTTGATGGTAGCTTTTTAATCCCGTCTTTGTAAAATGATTTCGGTTTTGAATCAAAATATTCAGAAATAGCCTTTTTTACATTGTTCTCATTCTTGAAAGTTTTTCCTTTTAAAAAATTCTGCAAACTCCGAAAAAGATGATAATCACTGGAGCAATATCTGGCAAATATGGTGGATGAGGTCAAATTTCCCAGTTGAAGCTTTTGAGTTGAGCAGTTGACATTGTTGTCAGCTAGCTATTGACAGTTCATGTGGTATCCATTTTCCTAGCTTTGAAACTTTTCCGATTTGTTGTAGATGTCTATGAACAGTTCCATGGGATGAATTTAAACGTTCCGCAATTTCATCAACTGTTAAAGATGGTTCTGCTTCAACTAGTGCAGAGAGAGCATCATCATCAAAGTAAACGGATCTTCCAGTACGAGCCTTATCCTCCACACTAAAATCATTATTTCTAAATCTTTCAAACCACTTCTGCGCAGTCCTTACACTGATTACAGTTTGATTATGAACAGTATTTAATTTTTTGGCTGCATTTGTAGCATTCTCATCACTTAAAAATAAAAAGTATAAAACATGTCTCTTATATTCATCTGTTACTTCCATTTTAACGAAAATAAACAACTGAAATGTTCCCAATTCTGAACAGTATTATATGAATGAGATCAAATTTAATACTTCAGTGTAAAAAGTATCACATTAGACTGGCATTTTTAACAGCAAAACAAGATTTTTCTCAAGGTCATAAAATACGCAGGAACTTACGGACTGACCTGATAGTTCATCTCCTTGTTTTAGGCCCTAATTAGCACAAGTTTTAGTCTTAAATGTAAGTTTTGGTTAAGATATTTTGTGAGTGATGTTGCAGTTGGTTATAATTGAATTTGTTTTGTTCCTATATAATATATTCTCATGTTTTGTATAGTGTGAGTAAAGATTATCATCATGGTAAAATTTTTAAAAAGGGATCAATTTATGTTAGATGAATTTTTGTGATTCGTCTATTTTCCCTTCTTACAGAGTCTAGTCTAGGGATTTACAACAGAAAAATATAGAATTATACATTTTAAATTTGGTATTGGTAAATTTTAGTTAAGATTCAGTTAAGATTTTATTTAAAAAAGACATCATTCTCAATGAAAGATTTAAAATATTTTTAAATTTCAATTAAAAAAATTATTATTCACAATTAAAAGTATTTGGCAGAAATCTCACTTTGAGATAAGTATATCATAAGAAAAACTACTGATCTAGAGTAGTGATTCCCAACTGGGGACACATGCTTGGTGGTTTAGGGATATGAAAAAAAAAATTAGTAATGGCAGATGTACTATAAGAATATTTGGATTCTGCATTGAGGCCTTTGGCAATGTCACTCAATGCTTAGTCTCAAATAATCTGTGTCCTTCCTCCAATGCTTTTTGATGTAAAAAAAACTTCTTTTACATGTAGGCTAATTGTACAGCACTGTATATTGACCAAGGTACCACTGTTTGAAGACTATGGAAAATAAAACTTTTCTGACTTGCGTATGCAAGTTAGAAAAGTTTGGAAACTACTGATCTAGAGCAATGGGTTAGAATTAAAGTGGATGATTTGAAATTAGTTAAAAATAGTAGTTTTGAGTGTTAAATAGGAATATAAAATAAATTATGAAAGCATGTTTTCAATTATTATATATTAATATTGATTGGAAATTTAAGATATCGACATATCAACCAAACCCCTGGCCATCAAGAATGCATGTGGGAGGCTGTTAGCCAAGGAACAGGAAGTTTCCAAAAGATGGAAAGAATATTTCCAGGATCCAGACCCCATGACTCCAGCCACATTCCTCCCAAAACACACTGTTCAGTCAGAAGTTAAAGAACCTACTCAGTGTGAAATTCAGGTCATCATACAAAATCTACATAATCACAAAGCTGCAAGGACTGACAATATCAAACCCGAGCTCATTAAATATGGTGTACAGAAGCTTGCAAAGACAATCCATAATCTGATTAATCTGATTCTGCGGTTCTGCAGATTATAGATTGAAAAATGAAAGAATGCCAATGGAATGGAAGGAAGCAGGCATAATGCCATCCGTAAGAAAATAAATAAAATGGAGTGTAAAAACTACAGGGGGATTTCCCTACTCCAGATGACATACAAGATCCTGTCATCTCTAGTTATGAGGAGATTGACTCCATACATGGAGGGAATCATGAGTGAATATCAAACTGGTTTCCAAAAAAATATAACCATGATTGATCAAATCTTCGCATTAAGACAGATTCTTTAGAAGAACTGGGAATACAATGTCGACACACATCTGTTGTTCATTGATTTTCAAAAAGGCATACAACAGCATTCAGTCAATCAGTGTGGAAGGCCATGAAGGAGTTTGATATACCAGACAAACTCTCCAGAATTGCAGAAATTTGCATGAATGAAGTGTGGTATACAGTAAAAACTAGGGCCACTAGGTCGGATAGCTTTTAGATCAAAACAGGACTGAAACAGAGAGATGCCCTGTCTCCTCTTCTCTTTAATATTTCTCTAGAAAAAGTTGTCAGAATGACCCAGGAGATAGACAATAAAAGGGAAAATGACTCAAGAGACAAATTGTCACTACTAGCATATGCAGATGACATTGTCATAATTGGAGCATCTCAAGGGGAGGTGACAAGATTAATGTCAAAATTAGCAACAGCTGCCAAGAGCGTGGGTCTGATCATTAATGAAGAGAAGACTAAATACATGATTATTTCTGAAAAGGGAAAATCCCACAAATAGTATGTAACCATAGACAATATGGCATTCAGCACTACGGAATCCTTCAAGTACTTAGGGACTGACATAAACAGAAACAATGACATCAAGGAGATAGAGACTTGCTTACTACAGGGAAACAAAATCTACTTCGGGCTCACAAACATACTAAAAAGCAGACTCCTTAGTAAAAGGATGAAGCTAACTGTATATGAGTCACTGATTAGACCTGCGATTTTGTATGGATATGAAACATGGCCAATGACAAAGTAGAAGGAACTACAACTACAGAGATTTGAAAACAAAACACAGTGGGTGATTGGTTAACGAACACTTTTGCGAAAGATTTTTATGATTGGACAACAAACACTTTACTGAACAAACATAAAAAGAATTGACGAAAAAATAACGAATACCGATTGATTTTCCCTTGTCTTCGGGTAACAATTCGAAACCTTTCGGAGCGCGGGAGATGTCAACATTGACACTCAACCCGATACTGATCAGATAGTATTCCTTTGAATTTTGAAACTCTCCCTTGTAATTCCAGCGTTTTGTTTATCTTTCTGACAAATAATTTTTTATAGTATTTGAGAGACTGTCAGACGTGCACTTGTTAAGTTTTGCGTCGGGGTTTATTTACAAAAAGTGAAAGTTTAAGTGTCCCATCAGATATTCATTAATGTTTTAATACCAAATTTCGAATTTCATCCGGGCCTCGCATTTAAATAATTTTTGTGGGCTAGTTGATTTCTGTTCTCTGAATTTTTGTAAGT